ACATCTTCATGTACTTCGGTTCTGCTGCTGACGTCAACTGGATGCGTTGTCAATTCGTAGGCTGCTAGTAAGCTGTGTGATCGTAGTGCGGGTGCTGAGCGCCAAGTAGGAGGAGGTACTCTGGATACATATGTTGGTGAAGGCGAATATGCTCTCATTGACAATTGGATTCAGTATTTTGGTTCTCCGTTGGTGGAATATCAGTGCATTTCGGCTTTCTGGACAGCGTTGGACTTGCTGGCTCTCAATGTGATTTTGCATTCTGGATTTCCGTCATTTTGCTAGCTCTCATTTTCCTTGCAATTTGGTATCAGAGTGGTCCGAGCCGCTCCGCTGGCTGCTTCGCAATAGCTGTTTGGTGCTTCGCTGGACATGGTGGGGCAGTGATAACGCTTGTGCATGGGATGATAGGCGGCCCAGGGTCGTGTGGGTGCGCCAGGAAGGCTATGTGGTTACATAGGGGTGCACGCTGGTGGAACTGCATTGCATTGTGGGTTGTGCAGAGGCATCGACCGGTCATCATAAATGCACCCCAGCTTACTGGTGAGAAATCTCTGGTTGGGGGCAGCATTATGAAGTACGTTGCTCCTTGCCTTATCTACCCTCTTCATTACTTCTTACCATGGGGAAGTGAGTTCTGTCTTGAGAGTCCTCTCATTGTGAGGTGTTGCAAGCGCTCAACATTGAGAGTCGACATTCTTCCTGGGGAGCATGCTGGTGGGAGACGAGCGTTGCCTCTGAAGGGCCCTGGACGAAGCACTCAGGTCACGGTCACCATGCCAACCCGCTAGGACTAGTACACACATGTTTTGCCGCTTGTCCTTGGTTCTGCTTGCTGCGCTGTGGAGGGAGAGTGGACTGACCAGTCCTAAGAAAGACACCTACCAGACAGTCTATAAATATTTCTGGCAACATCTGAGTTGAATACTGGTTGTGATCGTCGTCCTGTCTGCGACGTTAAATAATTCCTGAGGACCTTGGAGGTTGTCCTTAAAACTGCCTCTTGATCAGCCAGATCAACCGGATGGAAGGCTCGTTGCATGCGAGGATAAAGAATGGGCAAAACTGGTCATGAGCGATTTCCTGGGCACAGGGGCGGGCCCGTTGCACACCTTCAGACACGCCGCTGAACCATAAATATTTCTGGCGACATCTGAGTTGAATATTGGCTGTGATCACCGTCCTGTCTACGACGTTAAATAATTCCTAAGGACCTTGGGGGCTGTCCTTAAAACTGCCTCTTGATCAGCCAGATCAACCGGATGGAGGGCTCGTTGCACGCGAGGATAAAGAACGAGCAGAACTAGTCATAAGTGATTTCCTCGGCACAGGGGTGGGCCGATTGCACACCTTCAAACACGATGCTGAACCACCTCGACATCAAGTGACTACACAGGAGGGATACAGGGGGAGGGAGGATACCAGTAAACAGCTCAATTATTTATTATTAAAAATTTTCCATTCTGCATGTAAACCCAGCAAACGATTTTATTTTTATTTTTAATTAGTTAGTCGTGGCAGACACTGCTAACAACTGACAGACAGTTGTAGATAGGTTGTACATATTCCTTGCAACATTGCAATCTGTCTCAGAATAGTCAAAAGTAGGAATAGAGTTGTTTGTAGGAATCTGAGATTATCTGCTGTTACCGCTTGACTACTTTCTGACCAAGCTGGATCAAACATTTATTTTATTTTTATAATTTTTTTATTTTAAATCGATTGGATGCCATGCTGCAGTCGATCCCAGTGGGGACTCCAGTACAGATCGCAGGCCACGCATAGCTCACGAGTGGAGATGACAGTGAGGTTGCGGGGAGACTGCGGAGAGAAGCCAAAGAGAGGACGGCTTTGTAAAGGGCTAGGGAAGCAGCAGCCGACGCCGAAATGGCACTAGCAGCAGCATTAGCAGCAAACGCTACAGCAAACGCCGGGGAAGCCATGGCTACCGCCTTTACCATGTCACATGCCTCATCTCAGGCCTCATCGTCAGGTGTCGGTCAGGGTGTCTCCCAGGTTTTTGTTAGTCAGTCTGTTGGCTTGCAGGTCAGCCAACAGCAACCCATGTCAGACGAGGATCATGAGATCACCAAGTGGATGCTCTTTACACAGAGTTACAGCGCCAGCTACGGGAGGTAGAGGAGAGGAGAGAAAGAGCTAGAATTAGAAAAGCCAGACTAGAGGCGAGGGGAGAGGAGTTAGGCAAATTAGAAGCTATGGACGAGTCAGTTATTGACCCCGTAATGCTGGCCCTTCGGAACTCCCTGTTGAGTGTAGTTGAAGTGCAAGTTGTGAAGCAAGAGATGTTGGCTGCACTGATAGCTGGTCAGAACCAGATTCTGACCGCACTGCGGGCGCCACAACCTGTGGTTAGGCAACCACAGTTTGTTGTAGCTCCCCCTACAATTGCAGGTCCAATAATGACGCTGCCACCAGTAGGGCAACCGTTTTCTCCACAGTTTGGCATACCCCAATTAGACGGATTAGCAATAGGTAGTAGTGGGCAGATTTCGGTACCTTC